GGGGGGGGTTCAAAATATTAAATATGTGACTTACGTTGTGGTGTACAATGAGGGCATATGGCAATAATGTGTGTAACTTTCAAGTTGAAGCTATACATACAATGACATCTCTATCTAACGAACAAAGAGCTAGCTCTAAATAGATTAAGGAATCGTCCAAATTTCAAGTAATAGCTAATAGCAAGATGTTGTTTCTTAACAAGCTGGAGCTCTACATGAAGTGAAATCTTTACAAAATCAAAAGAAAACATAACAGATGTAAAAAAGCTAATTTTCTTATAACAGCTATTTGTAGTAACAGACTACATCATGTATTTTTTAAGAAGGTTTCCGATAGGAGAATCTTTCATCTTGTCCAGGTACACTTTGTCAAATTCCTTGTTTTGCTCTTCCGAGAACCAATTTCTCCAATCGCCAACGACACCTGGGGAAAACAATGAAACATTCTGTCTCAGAATATAGTTTCCCTGTCATGCTGTCCTTACATATAAAATCATAAACCACCGTGTATTTGACATCAACGGAAATCTTATTCAAATACCTATTCAACGTAGGAACCATCAAGTTCAAGACATTTCTCCATTTGATGTACCCAGCGGTCAAAGACAGAGGTTAGTGATCGTTTGTCCAAGGTCCCGAGTGCTTTTCTCATAGCCTCATGAATCTGGTCTTCGTCCTCAAATCACTGACCTCGTAGCATTTCTTTCACCTTGGGGAAGAGGTGGGTGTTGCAAGGGGCGAGATCGGGCGAATAGGGCGGATGTTCCAATAATTCCCACGAGTAGCCCTCAAGAAGCTCATTCACAACTCTGGACTTGTGAAAAGACGCTTTGTCATGATGCAGGATGACACCATCTTCAAGCACAGCGGGTCTTTTTTCCGGATCGCAGGTCTCAGCTTGTCTTTGAGTCACCATTGACAGTTATGCCAGGAAGGACTAGCCAGCTCAGTATGATGCCACTCGTGTCGAAAAAAACCAATGTGCATCACCTTTCTCTCCACGTGTTTTCTGTGTGCGCTTCATCTTTCTTGTCAGACTTCCCACTTTCAGCCTCTCTGATCCATTTCATTAGTGTTTGAATTGATGAGGCATTATTCCCTATAACTTTGTACTTTGTTTGGAAACTGCAGACTTGCGTGGAAGAGTTGAAAATTTGTTCACAACTCGGACATCGTAGCATGATAAGGTTGCACCAATGTTTTGCCCAGGCATTTTCCTCGAATTACCCTTGGACAAAGTGCACAAGAATATCACACTTGACACGTCACAGCTCTATGACTCGTTCACCAGTGCACTTGCAATTTGGCGTTGAAATTTCTTAGACATGATGTCATGACGTCACAAAATTTAGTGGCTGTTGGTTGCGTACTCTTGATGTTATGGAGGAGGGAATCTTTATTCTGAGGCAGACCTCGTACATAGCTTTTGGTGAATTGGAACGGAAAACGACACATTTTGCCAACATCAAAACGACATTACCAATTTTAGAGCAAACTTGCAATAGTAACAACAACAGTTGATATGATTAGTATGTATAGATCTATATGAAGTCTGTGAGAATGCAAACACTACACGACTACACGTGCGCGGTGCATGACATATCAGCTGGGAAATGTGCTACCCGGTACCTTCAGACTTATGAAAGCTGATGGAGGGGGCAATCACATTCTCATTTAATCAAGTTATTGCCAATCGAGTCAACCGATCTGTTTATTTTGTTCTGTGCTAGAGAGCAATTATTGTTAATTGTGCAACAGTAAGCATCTAATGCTGCGACGGTTGTGGATTTTTTGTCCTGTTAAGATTTTAAAAACTTTATGAGTGCTTTTCTTTCTAACCATCTCGTGTCACAACAAGCCGGTGCTCAGTTTGGAACGTACACATGGCCTATTTTATATGTTGCTCATATGAACGACTAGTGTTAGATTAGGATATAATGCCCCTCTTTTAGCACTTAAATAATGGTAAGATTTCATGATGATGATGATGATGAGGAGGAGGAGGAGGAGGAGGAGAAGGAGGAG